ATGGGGACGCCCGGCGACTTGGGGTTGTGGGGACGTTGGGGACGGAATCGTGTTGCAGGCCGGTGATGAATTTTGGGGATGTCTGGCGATGTGGGGTTGTGGGGATGCTAGGGACAAAATCGCTCTGCCGGCCGGGGACGGAATTCGGGGATGGCCCCCCTCTACCCTCCCCTTTTGGGGGCGTCGCCGGGGACATCCCTGTTGTCCTTGGGAACATCCCCAAACATTGGGCCTTTTCTTTCAGATGCAACAACTTGAAACAATGCAAGGGCATCACCTTCATGGTGGGAGTGTAGCCCACACTGTGTGGGATGTTGTGGCGGGGCCAGCTAGCTGCCGCCAGCCCCGCTTTGTCCCAGCGCTATTTTGGGAGTCGCTGCCCCCGATGGTCAGAATGGCCCTCCCGGATCTTCGGATCCAGGGCATATCCGGGGCGCTCGTTTCCTCTTGATGCAGTGGGCCCATGTTGCGCCTCAGAGGCGCCAGAGAGTCTCTAACGGGCCTGCCGTGAGGGGTTGCAGTTTGCAAAGGGGCGCCCCAGCCTTGCCATGCGGCGCGGGCACAACATGGCCGCAGGGGCCCGAGGCATGGTCAGTGAGCCTCAAATGAATGTAACAATATAGGTGGTATAAAGCCACCTTTGAGCACGGGTACCGGCCATGTCTAGGGCCAATTACCCCTCTGAATGAGACGCTATTAAAATACATTGTATTGTAGCCTATAAAGTACTACCAGCGCACCTCAGAACCCCGACCAACCTTTAATCCACAACATACATCCATTGTAAGGCCAAGTCAGATAAATGAAGGAATAATGACTAATGTAACTGAGCCCCAAGTGCTCACACAACAGATGTGGCAAGCAGCAGTGGGGCGTCATTTCACCTGGTGGAGGGGGGAATGAGAATTTAGAAATGAAGGTCCATGGCTCCACTTGGGCGTGATCGTTTTGCACAATTCTGTTAGTTTGCGGCCGCGATCTTCAGAACACTTCTCCCTCCCTCCACTTTTTGGATCGATGGTCCAAATCGCGTTGGTATCCATGACCTGGCATTAACATCCATCGCTTCATTTGGAGGGCCTGTGTATGGATGCTAGTACTGGGTGATTTACTAATATTTCAAAATTTCCCAAATTAAATTGCAATTATGAAAAGCAACAAAAACAGGGGCTACGTACTATGGCAATGACAAAATATTGTAAGAAACAGAAAGATCACAAGCCAAACCTTGGCCAAGCAGCTTCAGCCGCCATCGGAATGATATGTTAGTCATTATCAACATCCCTCAAAAACTGGAAAAACTAGCAGTTTGGCGGCCACGTTAAAAATTTCAGAAATTTTTGGCTGAGCTGTGTCTATCGAGATGATATTGCGGGTCGAATACTTAGGAAAAACAGTAATTTGAATTTTGTATGTCTAGCATCAAATGGACGTTAGGGGAGGAGGGGTCCAGGTCATGGGCGCTAAGAGATTATGTAATTGCACTAAAATCAAAATAAGGTGGGGAGATGACAAAAACGAAGCTCATCAGCGCCAGACAGCTTATGAATTGTTCCAAAACCTCCCTTAAGCTCTCAATCCCTGAGGAAGTCCTTAAATGGATCGACTTGCAGCCTTCGGGGCTGCTCCAATCGCCCTGGCTTTTAGCATCTCGTTTTTAATGCATTACAATCGCTAAGCTTTGTTTGTGGTTGTTTTTTGTTTAAAAGTTCTTGAAGCTGTTTTGCACTACTAGGTAATGTTGCTGAGTCATCTTGGCATAGGAAAAGGAATGGACGCTAAGAGGGGTGGTACTGAACTTAGTTTCCATTCGACGCTAAGCATGTAAATTTCAAAACAGTGTCTCCCTCTAGCTGATTAAATGGCATTTATGGGAGCACAAACTAACTCAAATCAAAGCATTGTGGCAAATTTGGCAGAAATTTGAGGTGATTAGGAGTTGCAGGGCCAAGTTTCGTAACCGCAATTTATTTTGGGAAAGATGAAGTATGTGGTAACATGGTCAGTGCTCCATGAAAAAGAATAAATAGGAAAAAATAAATTAAAAGCGAAAAATGAGAAACAAAATGAAAAATAAAGTTGCCAAAACCGTTTGGTTAGGAATTGACTGGATGGTGTTCATTTTTGCCCGTAGGAAACGAAACCAATTCTACTGGCTGTGGCATTTGCACTGGGTGGTGCTGCTGTGGGGACGCTTGCAATGCTCGCGATTTTCATAAGGAGGAAAATTCTGCGCAAGCTTGCTGATGAATATTGGACGATGGATGCCGGAAACGGGCAAGTACTGTATGAAGATATGACAACACAAATGCTGGAATGCTTTGAGCGCACCCTGGACAACAGTGCACCCAGTTGTGGGGCGTGCTGCATTACCATGGGCGAGCGCGACAGCGCTTCGGCGCTGAGCAGGAAGCTGGAAGCTCTGACGGCGGGATCCGTCTTTGCAGACAGGCACGATTGCGAGCTGCAGTGCGACCTGTTGCGTCAAGACGTCCTAATCCAGAAGAGTCATTTCAGCGCTGCTTCTCATTCAACCAAATATGGGCATGTACAGTTTGCGCCCTTGCGTACGTGTTTTGCGGTGCTTAGCACCGGCTTTGCGGTGGAATATTGCACGTGTAGTTGTGGTAGAAGATGGCCTTTCGCCTTTGTCCCATGCATGATTCATTTGTTCTGCCATGAGGTGCACGGCCTGTGTCAATGCACAGTATACAGGCTAGCTGAGTATGGGAGCAAATCATTGTGTGCAAATTCTGTTTTGTCTTGCCATGCACGGGCGCATTCGCCCATCATCGCGCAATGATCAGATTTCTTAATGCAAAACAAGTTGCTGCTGGCGAGCTATTTTCTTGTGGCAAAAGGCCTGGCAAGCGTCCCCCCGGTTTGCTATTAAATGGATGGAATTTTTGGAAGGCTGCAATGACATTTGTGCTCTTGCTTTGCAGATATGTTGTGGAGCACGAGTATTCCATTGGCTCCAATGCCGCGGTGCTATGTGCCAAGCAGACACTGGACAACTTCCCAGTGCTGATAAAATTCTGCGCTACCAGGGCAATGTGCAGAAGAGATATTGAGATGTACTCAGGTTTGTCTGGTCAGTTTGTTGCAAGGTAGGTGCTTTCAATTCACCTCTTTGAATGAGCCATTTGGTGTAGATGGGCTCAAGGATGCGCATACACTACGCGGTGTGTTTTCCCACTCGATGGGGTATCACCAAACATGCCCACGGAATAGCATTCTGGGAAGCCAGCATGGAACAAGACGTGTATGCGAGGGTTTCTGCACTCTCGTCACGAGGGGGTGCCAAGAGGCGGAAGATTCAAAAGAGGAATAGAATTTATCCCAGCTGCAACAGTGCTCAGGCACCAAAAATATGCGTGGACATTACAGTGGATGGAAAAAGGAATCAACGGCAAGTTGAAGGTGTTGCCAAGGGACATATTCCCAGTGCGACGCTTGGCTGGAAACTATTATACGCTTGGCAATGGACTGGATGGAAAAGTGCGTCCAGTGCGCTAGTACAACAGAAAACGTTTTTGTCCGATGGTTGACACCCGCCCATCCACCTGCACGTACACGTATGGTCGCTCACGGATTGAACACGGTGTTGGCGTCCTCCGACCGCTTCTGCAGATTATCTTATGTGTGGACGCAGACGCGCTGGCGTCCACGCTGGCAAAAGCCCATCCACCCGTTCACCCGCATCCGTTCCCGCAGCTGCGGATTGGATTTGGGCCAATCCTCGAACTCGTGGAAGATGCAGCTCCGTCCATCCGTATCTGCAAAATTACCTGGTGGTTGTCCACCGATTTCTGGACGGACAATCCGTTCCCAAATAGGCAGACGGACGTGGAGAAACCTATAGTCCAAGAGTTAGGGTATCCCTGTAGTTGGGAGGCTGCCTCTCAATTGAGCACATCCCGCCACAGATCTCACCGGACCACAAGCATTGGCACCGCATGAAACTCGGGCCTAGAGTCCTCCAACTAATTGACAGGCCTTCAACCGAAACCTGTGCAACAGCAGGCCCAACCTGCCAAGGAGAGCGAGTGCCAAAAGCAGATTTGGCTGCTGCAGCTGCCCAGAGCGCCTGGCGCATCCAAGCTGTCCATCACGTCTACCTAATCAAGACCCCTATAAAGTAATCATCATTCACATGAATGGTCATGTGGCAAACGCCAGTGACTTGACTGCGGAAGGGCGTCAGACAAGGTTTCGACAAGTTCCCCAAGATACGAATGACCAGCTGGCGTTAACATTGCAAGTGTGCATCCAAATGTCCACAGTACTTAATAATGGCTCCTTTGCATGAAAGAGCTGCACATTGTACCATAGAAGTGTCCCAAGTCAAAAAGGGGTGCATATGGCAGAGGAGTGCTATTGAGACAGCTCTGCATCAATATTTATCTCCAAAGGTCTGTCTAATATCGTACTGTGTCATTGTGTGTTGCTCTGAAATGCAAGAACATGAACGCATGTTTGTAAGTAAGGATATGTGCTCCGGACTGTGTTCTCAATGCACTCGACTGTGCGGTTTGTGCAGACTTGAAGGCGTGGTGCATTCTGAAGATTCTGGATTCCCAGATGCGCTTGTGCTGCAGAGCGGAGCCTACACTCTTGAGGATTGGTTGAAGGTGCAGAAGCCAACCAAGGGCGCAGTGCAGCTTGCAGTGCATCAGGTGCGGGAAACGATTCTGTGCATCAGGTATAGATCATCGCGCTCATTCAAGTAGCCGAATAGTCATTGCGCAGTTGCACTGTTTGTGTCATGGATATCAGCGAAGAAGCATCTCTCTTTGTGGCTTCGTGAGTAATTCATTGTATTGTTGCAGATTCTGGAAGGGCTGCATGAGCTTCACAGGAACGGAATTGTTCACCGTGATTTGCAGCCCAACAACATAATGTTCTTCCCCGAAGAAAACAGGTGGAAGCTTGGCGTCCTGCGTCACTGGGCTCGCGATGGGGAATGCGGCCTTGTTGAGTACAACTTGAAGTACGTATCGCCAGAGATGTTGGCGGCACATGCTTGCGGCAAGGCGCAAGTGCCGCTTGGTACGACAGCGGACATGTGGTGCTTCGGAACAATCGCATACGAGCTTGCAACAGGTATCCTTGTCGGGGCCTTTTTGGAGCCAGGGCTGCTGAGCAGAATTCAAGACATTTGTACGATTAGTGAATCGGGCCAGTCCTGTCATGTGTGTGTATCGCACTATAATTTGGCAACATCAATACATGATGGCAAAATCATAAGTGTACGGACCTCCATGATTTTGCGCATTGCTCCTGTGATCACGTTGTACCCACGGTTGAGCTCCAACACAATCGTGTGACATATTGCTAGGTCGTGGCCGTTGGAAGAAAAAATTAAGTAAAAAGTCAAAATTAAGTAAAAAATTAAGTACTGGGCTCACCTCGTCCTTGCAAACGGCAGACGGCGCTATCTACAGAAAGTTGTCCTGCATCAGCACTGACCTCTTGATGCCAGCAAGGTTGCAATATTGGCGCTCCTCTGCGTTGCTCAGTATTCGGGCTCCTCTTCCACCGCTCAGAAGAAGAACTCCGTAGCAGTAGATGAAAAGTACATATATTTGAGGTCTATTTCGAATGGCATGATGATGACTACTGAAATACTGTGTTAAAGAGCTTCTGCGAAACTGTTGCCGCCATGAAGATGGCGACAATAAGAGTGTATATATTGTGTGCACTATTGACAAATGCAGTGTGGTAAGGCACTATTTTGGTTTTCGTAAGTTCAGCATTAAATTGACGCGAAGGAGGGAAGGGGGTGGGGGGTACAGGCCATGGACGTTAAGAGATCACACAACTGCAATAAAGTCAAAGTAAGGTGGGAAGATGCACATAAGCGCCACTGATTAAGTGGCAGGCAGTTCATGACTACTTCCAAACATCCCTCAAGCTTTCATTCTTTGAAGGAACTCCTTAGGGCGAAAAAAATCTGAGATGATTTGCTATGTTTCCAAAGCCACGGGTAATAACTGCAATTTCACTATGGACGGAGGAAGTATTGGGCCATACATATGTCCAATATCAATGGCAGGCACACAAAGCACTGGACAAAGGCATGAGCATTTGTTTCCAAAAATTAAGCGCCTGATAGATGGCAAATTTGCATTTGAATGTGGCTCGTTCACTAAACGTACACTCTCTTTTTTAGCAGTGCACGTCGCAACTGCAATGATGCGAAATTGCGTTGCACACACGGCATGGGAGTTTGCTGGACGTATATTACCACATCCGATATTTCATGGGTTTGAAAACACAAATTGGTACTTGGGTACAATGCCGTTGTGAATGAATTTAGCCCCATATTGCGTAAATAAATTGTACTGCACAATTCGATTAGTCTGCAATAGATATTGTGTTACTGTGTTTCCAACACAGCCTAATACTTTTGCCGTGCAATATTTCGCGCATAAAAAGGAATCAGGAACCTCTTCCGATGGAGAACAACATCGCCCAGCCCTTAAAGATTTTCAGATCCTGAGTTCGTTGCCCAGGTGCATAGTTATTGTTCTGTGATGTTCCAAATTAGTCGCCTCCCACCAGCTATCGAACCTACGGCGTTGTTGAGCATGGCTTGGCAGCGACGCTTCTGTGGTGTTGTCAGGAGTGGGAGTGTTTGGGCGTGGCACCAAGCCGTCGAAAATGTGTCGGATGATTTTGGGACTCTCCAAAATGCCAGATCTGCGTGCTGTTGACGATGTTTCCCTTCGGCGTCTGATATTCAAGACGGTCAGACAAAACCCGAAAGCCAGGTGGACAGCTTCACAAGCTCTTTCAGAAGAGAAGGTTTGTGCTTCGCTTGCAGTATTTAAAGTAACAATGACAAAGATGCAGTGCACTTCAGCAGTGGCTGATTTTCTTGTTTTGCAGCCCTCGCTGCCTTGTGAATTCTTCCACGTTTGGGAATTCAACATCACTTTCACTGGATCCACCAAGCCGTGGAATGCAAGGGCTGCGCCCTGCCGTGCAGTCATCCACAGAGGCAATTACACTTGCGCAAATTGACCCTTTTCAGTGGTCCAATGGAGACATGTGGCACAGCCAGTCATGTGCCTTCATGTAGTTCCAATTTGTCCTTTTAACTGTTCTTGGGCTTGAGGCTGGTGTGGGAGGGATCAGGTGGGATACAGTGATAGAATGCATACCGTCGATTATGTGATGTATCAATGCGTGTCTACACCATGTTGTTTGATACTAGATGAAAAACGGTCTGGATGAGCATTGCTTATTGGCCAGCAAGTCAATTTTCCCCAGAATGGCTTTGACTGTTCCGTAACTTGGAGTCCTGTTATTGCTGTAAAGAGTTCGTGCATGTAAGTGCCCACACGTGCCCCTATATCAGCTGTATTTCGTTGTGATTGCTTCATCGCAGGACCATGTGCACTACAATCGAGGGATGATGGAATTTCTTGATGACCAGATGAGGAAGACAGCCGACATGTTCAAGATAAGCGAAGGACCTGCTCCTTTGAGAAGAGCACTAATGAAAGGAAGGAGACTGGTGCAGAAACACGAATTGCCTTTTGACATCAGGACTTTCTACCCGACCAATCAGGCTAGAGATGCTGTGGAACAGATATGCGAAATTCTAAGAGATGCCGCTCTTGATCAAGATCATCCATTGGAAAGAAGATACTCTCAGTCATCCAGCACTTATTGTATTGAGACCGGGGTACCACAGGACACAGTCGACAAAGACAGGGAGCATTTGTGCAATATGCTTTCGTTCATTCTGAAAGGGGAAGAGTGCAAAAGTGCAGATAGCGCTGAGCTCCTGAACTGGAAGGATGCAAAACACAGGCACAAGGAAGTGATTAAGCACCTGCAAGTCAGTGACAACCTCATTCGGCCTGGAAAGAAACGGGGTCAAGGTGGTGAGGGGCATGTGTATGAAGCAGAATATCAGCATGGGCCAGTGGCTGTCAAAAAGCCAACAGTGTCAGTCGATAAACTGCCCATTGAGGATATGGCAGAGTTCATGAAAGAGGCTTACTGGCTTGCGTCCCTGAACGACCTGCACATTGTTAAATTGTATGCAATCACGGTGTCTGGATGGATCATCATGGAATTGGCTGACAAAGACTTGCATCAGTCTGCCAGGATGAGAAGTTGATGAGCTGGCCCACAAGGCTTAATTTTATCCAGCAGGCCGCCCTTGGATTGCACTACCTTCACACTCTGGACATCCCTCTTGTGCACTGCGATGTCAAAACCTCCAACTTCCTGATATTTGGATCATGCTCTGAGAACAGCATCGTCAAACTTGCGGATTTTGGGTTTGCTACTGTTGCCACAGAGACAAGGAGCCAGACAGTCAGGTGTCCTGGAGGTACTTTGGAATGGATGGCTCCTGAGTTTTACTTTGGAGAAGTGGCAACATTAGCATCAGACATTTTCAGCCTCGGTGTTGTCATGTATGAGGTCATCACAGGCAAGCATCCATATATAGGAAATGGCATGGAACTCGCATCCGCCCAAGCTGTGGTCCTGAACATGAAATTGGAAGAAAGAGAGCCTTGCGCAGTGAGCAGAAAGGACTGCCCAAAGGAGATGCACGATTTGATGAGGCGCTGCTGCCACCTGGATCCCAAGCAGAGACCGACAATACAAGAAGTGTGCAGAGCTCTGTCACAGATGCCCAAGTTCTGGGCCGACAAGGTGCGAAAGTCGATTCGGCACAGTCAAGGAAATTGCCGGCACTATTTGTTGGTTGTGTTCATTTGAAGCTGGTAGGATTTTTAGAAATGCGAACAGCGCCTGCGGCGAATGGGCATTGGCACTGGTGATTCTTTGTTGTGGTACATTTGGTACATTTGAGAGCAATGCAAACATGAATATCAACATCTCGGCATCATGCTCCGAGCATCTGAGCCCGTACTTTCTATCATCGCCCTGGCACGATCTCGTTCATTTTGCCCCAATGGCGGCAGCTTGCACGATGGCCTCTCGACTTTATCTGGTCGAGTTCTGTCAGACAGCACCCGGATTTTCGTGCCCGCCTACACCGTGGGTCACCCCACCCTTCCATAGGTAACTCTACATGCAGAACTGGCATCCCTATGGCAGGCTCTATTTTACGTTTGATGGACCATTGGAAAAGCCCTGGAACTCCTTTTAATTCAAGGAACAATCTCAAGGTCGTCCACAGTCAACCGGAAAATGCCAAAACCGGCATTTGATTTCCTTTGCTCAGTGCTGAGAAACATCAAACGATAAATCACCGTGGTGCAAGCTACCGCATCCTCCACATCCTTATTCGTCAAAATACACCCAAATGTAATTCTAAATGCTCCAAACTGCGTTACAACTGGGAACCTACAAATAAGTATTTTGTGGCTGCCATTACCCAATTTGCATAGACTGTGGCATTTTCCAATCAAACAGAAGTTGTCTAACGGAAATCTGCGTTCCCCTGATCAGGGTTTTTGTGTGCCAGAGCTGCACAATATCATTGACACTGCCAGCCGAGATTTGGTCAACGTAGAGTACAATTGCAATATGTTGTTCTTCTTGTACGAGCAAATGGCCAAAATCAAGGCTGCAACCCTCATTGATCTCTCGAGCCAGATGTCAACAGAGAACCTTTGGGAGGCATTCGACAGATTGAAAGCGCATCTGGAAATGGCAGGAGAGCTTATCAAGCAGCACACACAGAGCTTCGATCTACAAATGCTGTATACCATTGATGAGGCGCGCTGTCTTGTTGAGGGAATCTGCTCCACCCTTAAGCGTTCTGTTTGCAGCCTGACACTAAGCATGGGCACAAGAATTGTCGACAGAATTCCCAGCAGCGTTGTAATCAAGGATATGGACATCATGGATGCTGTGCTAAAGTTCGTTTATGGGGAATCAGACAGCACCATGGAACTCCATACGCAGCAGAAGTGGAACGATGCAAGGGCAAAGCACATGGGCGTGTTGGAGGCAGTGCCACTCATTGATGATAATCAGATTTCAATGCAGAGCTGTAGGGTCATGAGCAGGGACGACAAGAGTGAGCTGCGTCAAGCACAATGGGAAGGACACCATGCGCTTATCAGGATGCAAGTTGTTGCACACAACACAAACCCCAGCAAGGAGGTGCTTGGAAGGGCTGTTGCATTGTCACATCTTATTCTTGGCAAGAAGCATCCACAGATTGGCTGCATTTTGGCCATCACCAGGTCTGGTGGCATGGTGATGGAAGGGGGAAGCAAGGATCTGGGAAGGTGGTACCACGAGCAGGATGGCGACCTGGCTTGGCAACTGAAGGTTGAAGTTTTGTTGCAGGCTGCAACGGCACTGGAGCAATTGCACGGTGGTTGTGTTCCGGTGGTACATGGTGATATCACACCCAAGCATTTCTTTGTTCTGGATGATATTGAGAGCAGCTGTCCGGTTGTACGACTCAGCGGTTTCAGCACATTGGCCACACAGATGGCGGGTGCCCAGAAGCTGACGAGCCCATGCCAAAGGCACAGCGTGTACTTTGCCCCAGAATTGTACACAGGCGGGGCTTGCACCATACAGAGTGACGTTTACAGCTTCGGAATGGTCATGTGTGAGATCGCAGTGCAGGCAGAGCTGCATGAGGGGCCCCCAAACGCCCGGGGTGCCATCGGCGCAAGGTTTCCATGCCACCTCCCCGATAACTGCCCAGCGGCTTTGCAAGAACTGATACGCAAGTGCCTGTGGACCGAGCCTTCAAGAAGACCCGCCATGCAGGTCGTCAGCCAAACGTTGGCTGGACTTTTGTCCAATGGATGTCAAGAGGCCAGAGCATCGTAAAGCAGCTCACAGCGTTGTGAAAAGGCAGACGGGTGGTGTGTGTGGCAAGATTTGAGATTGCAGTTTTGCGGGACCGCGACACTGTAAATTTTTGGAATCTTGTTATCGAGACAGGCAGAAAATTGGAAGCCGCTGGAGTTGCATATCATCGAACAAGGGTGCAGCTCATCGAACAAGGGTGCAACTGAGCCCCATTCTTATGTTGAACTGACTTACTTCGTTGGATGTAATGATCAGTGGAAAGGCGTTCAAGAACGCAGATCTGAAGAGCTGCAGATCTGCATGTGAGGAAGCGGATGATCATATGATTTCAATGCGTAGGTCACCACACACACATAGAATTACGAGTACCTTGTACCAGCACATGGCGAAGAGGCACATCATTCCAATGCCATGTTTCCAATGCGGCCCCGTCGCTGTCGTCAGCTTGTACCTGTTAGCACCTGTTGACCTCATAACCATGCATACTTGTAGCGTACATCCGGATTTCCTGCTTAACTGTTGACGTGGCGTGCTGGGCAACCTAGGCACAAGTTGGATAGAAACGCCACAGTCATTGTGCAGTAAATCAAACGAGTGCCAAGTTTCCATAATGTCATGGCATAAGGATCAGCAAATTTTGCCAGCTATTGGAACTTGACGTTGATTATCTGTGTCATGACAAAAGGGCCCGGGTAAAATATCCCACAATGTGTCCAGCGCGAAATCCAAAAAAATCGATCCCTTGAGATATTCAAAAAATGAAAAGTAAACTTGTTGGGGCTGCCTCATCCATGAAGTGCATCGCCGCCGTTTTTAGAAACTTGAAACCACTGCTCCATCTTCGTTGTGACCATAAGCCCTTGGCTAAGAGCGTCTAAAAAATACGTGTGTGTTGCGAATTGGCCATGTCGGCGCGGTCCCCCCTTGGCCGCGTCCAGGTACCCTGGCCCACGCTCTAGGGCCTCTCCAGTGGAAGCGTGGTCGTCCTCGGCCGGACGGCATATCCCGGGCTCTCTCTGGCCCGTGGGTGACGGCCGCTCTGTGCGTCCGAGGCGCGCGGCGGCTGCGCTCGAGGAGGCACGGAGGCAATGTGTTCCAGAACGATCGAACTACAATCGGCGCCGCCGCCGGGCGCTCTTACATGTGGCGGCCAAATCATCAAAGTCATCATTTTCATTAAGCGTCTCCATTTTGGCCAAACCCGTTTTCCGGCTAAAGGCCTCGCTACGCTCGGCCCTTACGCACAAGTCGTTCCGGCCTGCTCCGCTTCGCTCCGCATACGGCCTCCACGACTTTGGCGACGGGCCGAGCTCCGCTCGGCAGAACAAGAAAACCAACGGATCATTACCACAGGCCATATCATGCGCATTATTGCCCATTTAGAATAAAAAGAGCGTTGTAGCTCACATGCCTACGTGCGCTCAACGCATGAGGGAGCTGCTCTTGAGCAAAACTATGCCACACTGTTCCTGATACAGGTCACGTGTGCGGAGACGGTGATGGAGAATGAGACAGGCCAAGATGGGGCATTTTGGCGTCAGCATATACATCTAAGGGTGTCTGCATCTATGGTGCGTATGGGGAACAGCCTTGATAATGTTATTGTTGAGGGCCCGTGGACCCACTGCTGAACGACCAACCCATATGCAACCAAACACTGATGAAGGACGATGGGGATGAGGGTTGGCAGCCCCATACACCCTTAGATGCTGACCCCTAGACACCCTGTACACGCGTAAAAACGTAAATACAATCAGCTTTTACAGCGTAAAAACCAAGCCTGCTTGGGTGGGTTGGGTTGGGCGTAGACCTGACTACACAGCAACGGATTGCAGCGGTGCGGGGTGTCTCTTAAGGCTCAGCCGTCCCAATACAAGGCCATGCATTAATGTCATTGACTCATTTAATGCCCCATTCACTCCTCACAATTGTGTCAGTCATTGAAGGCCGCATTAATGCGGTCTTCGCACGGCCACCGGCTCCCGCTGTGCTGTCAAAATGCCAAGCGCCCTGCCCCCTCCCAATCCTCGATCGACCTGACAGCCCCCACCAACCCCCGGAGAACCGACCCAGTCCCAGGAGCGCCACCGCCGCCCCCCGCCCGCCCAGGCCTCGCCTCCGCCGGGAGAAAATCTCTCCAAGGTGAGCTCCTCCCGGCCAAGCCGACCTCGCTCATTTTCTGCCTGGGCGCCAAGCCGCCTGACTCGCCGCAGGCCCCTCGGCCTGGGCCCGCATCGGCGCAAAGACCCGGCTGCCTGGGGAGGGCTGAGCCGATCGGCGGCGGGGGGAAGAGCACGGCGGGCATGGCGCTGGATGCGGACAACAGGGAGAGGGACGCGCTGTTCCGGCGCCTGCGCTCCAAGC